AATAAGAACGATTCTCAATAAATTATTTTCCGGGGTATTGGAAAGTAAGTGGCAGGGATCAGGATATACAGTAAGCATGGTTTTTAATCCGTGTGTTACCTTTTCTAATTTGGATTTTTTTTTTCCTGGCTTTTTCCTGATCATGAGCTTGCTTTAATATTTTGTAAAGGTAATGATTTTGTTTGAAACATAGACAAAAGTTTCATTCTTTATGGTGGTTCTGATTTATGGCTCTTCTTTTTGTTTTTCCATAACCTTTGGCAATATTCATTCCTCGTTCATTTTTTTAACAGATTCTGAGGTTCTGTGTTTTGTGTGTGTGTTGTGGGTGCAGATTAGTCGCAGGGTTTTTGAGTTAATAAGAAGTGAAGGATCTTTAATCGTTTCACCCTCCCATGGGAAAGAATCAGTTTTTGGGAAGACAAGTGATGCTGCTACTTCAGCTTGTGCTAATGTAGAAAAGGTTAACAACAACAAAGTTAACTGTTTAGCTACAGATGATGTTGATAAGAGTAAAAGTAGTAAGCCTTTTGAGGTGTACAAAAGGCGAGCAACCGTTGTTGTTTCGCGGGATATATTCGTTAACGTTGTCTGTGATGCTCTGGCTGAATATAAGTATGTGGGTCATGACCAAAGGGCAGACTTGATTCTGGCTTGCAGGTAATTTTCTTACCTTTAGGAACATATATGTTTTGAAGAACCGTATCTTGCTTCACTAAGAAACCTTTTGATAGGAACTGTAGTCAGGTTTTATTCTACTGGGGACATTAGAAATTATATGAGCTTACTCTTAAACCTCTGTCTATGTGTTCAGTTTCATCCTTCTTTGCATAATTGCATGACATTTTAAATTCAATGCGTCCGTTGCATTAGTCATGTTGTTTATGGCTGTGACCGCACCACATTTGATCCTTCATTTCACACATCATCTAATAATCTTTGCCATTTTCTACAGAATCAGAGAGAGGAAAGAATCTGTGACTGTTCTGCTGTGCGGCACCAGTGGCTGTGGCAAATCCACACTATCTGCTCTTCTGGTATTATCTTCATTCCTTCCAGTTATAAGCGTTACAATACCGGATCTTAGTTTATTAGGCTAGGTACTGTTTCACTTGTTTCTTCACAGGCATTACAATGCTTGATCTTTTTTTTCTTATAGGGAAGTAGGCTGGGGATTACAACAGTAGTCTCAACCGACTCAATCCGTCACATGATGAGGAGTTTTGTTGATGAAAAGCAGAATCCTTTGCTGTGGGCTTCAACTTACCATGCTGGAGAGTATCTTGACCCTGTAGCAGTTGCTGAGTCGAAAGCCAAAAGAAGAAGAGCCAAAAAAATGGATAGCATTGAGGACGAAAAAGCTAATTCATCTGAAGGTGTGAAGGCTGATAATACTCAAAAGACTGAAGTTGGATCAAAACCAACCACCCCTGTATTGTTAAGTCCCAAGCAAATGGCTGTAGAAGGATTTAAGGCACAAAGTGAAATGGTTATTGACAACCTCGATAGGCTCATTACCGCATGGGAAGAAAGGAAAGAGTCTGTTGTTGTTGAAGGTGTCCACTTAAGCCTTAACTTTGTGGTAAGCCTCAATCTTTTATCATTTAACACATTTCGTTTTGCAAGCTGGAAGATGTAATTCTAACTTCTTTCCTTGCTTGCAGATGGGACTGATGAAAAAGCATCCTTCAATAGTTCCATTCATGGTTTACATCGCAAACGAGGAGAAACACTTGGAACGATTTGCAGTTAGAGCAAAGTACATGACGCTTGACCCAGAGAAGAACAAGTATGTGAAATATATACGTAACATTAGAACAATACAGGACTACCTGTGTAAACGAGCTGACAAACATCTCGTTCCCAAGATAAATAATACCAATGTCGACAAGAGTGTTGCTGCGATCCACGCAACAGTCTTTAGTTGCCTGCGTAGACGAGAAGCAGGAGAACAGCTCTATGATGCTACCACAAATACTGTCTCAGTGATCGACGATGAGTATAGGAACCAGTGTACAGCCAATTCATTGAGTTCCAAAGGGATGTTTCAGCTGATCCAAAGAAAAGGTTCTTCCAGGCATCTAATGGCTCTTCTCAACACTGATGGCACTTTCGCAAGAACTTGGCCGGTTACCGGTAAGGTTGATGAGAGCGGAAAGCCAGTCTTTTGTAATGAGATGATGGAGGAAAATGGAATGGAGCATCCGGTTTATGGATACCTACAAAGAGCTGAACCTGTGAATCTTCAGTTTGGTCTATTTGGGATCAGTGCTTGGCCTTGTGATGGAGCAACGAGCCGCGCAGGGAGCGTAGATGACTCTAGAGCTGATGTAGCTGAAACTAGCAGTCGGTATTACTCTTCTTGCTGCAGCTCGCCTAGAATGTCTGAAGGAACTTCTAAAGAGGTACTCTAAAACTAGTTTCTCTCATGTCATTTGTTATGTGGAAGGTTGTTTGATGATTCTCTATCTTCTCTGTTAATTTCTTTCAGCTTAAGGAGGATCAGTCAGTGAATGGGAGCGACGAAGAAATCGAGGATGATCCTCCCGAGCCAGATACAGATTTTAGCGATGACGATAACAAGCGAGACCATGAAGAGGTAAATCTTCTTAATGATCTTTTAGTTGTTTATATATGTTCTCCGTGCTAAACAGAGTCTTGCAATAATGTCTGCAGGTGGGATCAGTTGATGAGCAATCAACAAAATCAGATGAGGAATACGATGATCTTGCAATGGAAGACAAAAGCTACTGGACAGATGACGAGGAAGAGTCGCGAGATACGGTTGCCATAATGTCTGAAAAAAACCACAAGGCTGCAACAAAAGACGACAAGTACATACAAAACTTAGACCTCTTTCTGCGGACTGCGAACCAGCAGCTGGTCGAGCCACTTCAGCTATGCGCATCGCTGCTAACGTGCGAAAACGGGAACCCGAGACTCTGGTCTGGTAAAGAAAAGATGAGGAAACGTTCTCTAAGCATCTCTGCCCTCGGAAAACACGGCTCGGGTTTGGGTGATCCGATTCTCCTAGGTGCCCCATGATCCTTTTGCTTTGCTTACTAGTAAATTTCTTACTTTGTTATCTCTGGTTTAGTCTTTAGTTTAAGTTTTTCAATGTGTGACCGTGTGTATAGTCTTAACTTGCACAAATTTGGGAGATTATATATGTAGTACATTTTTCTTTGAATGATATATATATAAGGCTTTAGATTCTTGACTTCCACAAATAAAGCTCCTTCGAAATTGTTAAGAACTGGATACGTATATAAATTTATGCATCATAGATTATTGTGATGGAAAAGGACAAAGGAAACGTATAAAGAACATTTTGGAGTTTTTCTCAAGCTAAGTGTCTTGACAAGAAGTAATATATAATAGGATTAATAATAACTTAACTTGAGATTAACTTCGGTGATAAAATATAATTAAAGAAGATGACATCATCAAATATACAGTTGTATAATCTATAATGGAATCCAGAGAATCTGGCTAGCAATCGTTGGACTTGGACCACCTTAATCTTAGAGACACGTACGTATTAATTCACATTTTAGCATATAAAAACTATTTGTGTGCGCCTGTAAATCTGCTGGCATTGTAACTTAGCATGTTGTCAGTTCCTGCAGTTGACAATCTTAAGATTGTAATTAGTGTTTTGGTTCTTCTTCCTTCTTTTCTTCAGAAATTACTTTCCTAATTGAGTTTCTTTTCTTCAGAAATTACTTTTCTAATTGAGTTTGATTATATGTTTATATCTAACTAGTAAACCCAAAGCACAAAACTGCTAACTAGCTAGAAAAGAAAAAAAAACAGTTTTTGGTCACAAAACAAGGAAGTCATTATGAATTAACAGTAATGGACCTAATGGTATCTCTTACTGCATATTGGGAGATGAAGCTTATGAAAAAGTTTAAAGAATGATTTATAATGGTTGGTGTTTTGGACATGTAAAGTTTCATTGTTCTTAAAAATTAAAAGATCAAACTATAGCACTGCTGCACGTTTACTTCGGGGGTTCTAAGAAGAAAAGTTTATATATATATATATATGTAAGTACAACTATTATTCTGCTGTTACAATCTTCCTAAGCATAGTTCGGGATCTGATTACATCATCATAACTATAGTTTAATATGCGAGAAACTATATATTTTTTAAGTTTCGTTCTATCACATTAGTGACTAGTATATTTACAATTTTTAATGTTTTAACCCCCAAAGAGAAAAGTATTATCAAATTGAACCTTTGAAATCCATGCAGAGACGTATAGAGAGGAAGCACCCACGCACAGGAGTCGTTCACATGTAAAATGCATCACACCGCCGGGACCTTCTTGGATGGATTATTGCATATTTGCATCTCATCATGTGGAAAAATCTCACTACCTAGTAAAATGGCTGTTTCTAGCCTATATCTAAAGAAAAAGCTTGGCTCATTACTGCTTTGCTCATCTCCCTTTGCATAAAAAGTTCAAGGTAAAAGAAAGAAATAACAGAAACTAAATTCCAAAAATAGTTTCTCTCTTTAACAAAAAAAAAATTTGAAAAATAGTTTCTCTAGTAAAGAAAAATTTAAATCCTAAAGATTTGTCCAGGAAAAACAAATTAAATCCTAAAGATATGGATAGTTTAGTAATATCATGTTGATAAATACAAAATTGGAATCTAATAAAACTATAAAAGTGAACGTTTGGGACGTATGACGAGGCTAAATTCTCGTGTATGCATGCTCGCGGCGAAAGTGAATATTCCATACTATTAATATATAGACACAACTTGTGTATAATTGTAATCAGTCTCGCATAAACAACGTCGCATCATTAATTATCGTTAACAACTATACTATTATAGTATCATTTACGTAAAACGAATCCCACTTATAGCCTTTTCGAATCTCAATCAGCTCTTACCAAGTCAACTTACGTTTCCCTATATAAACCAGTCCCTTCTTCTTCTTGTTCCCTAAACACAAGACCACTAGCCAAATATCGAATACAAAATGGTCGATGGTTTCGGTGAACCCGGAAGCTCAATGCACGGAGTAACCGGCCGAGAACAAAGCTATGCGTTCTTCGTCGAGTCTCCGGCCGTACCTTCCGACACATCAGCAAAATTCTCTCTTCCAGTCGACACCGAACACAAAGCCAAAGTCTTCAAACTCTTATCCTTTGAAGCTCCACATATGAGAACGTTCCACCTTGCTTGGATCTCATTCTTCACTTGCTTCATCTCCACATTTGCTGCAGCACCTCTTGTCCCCATCATTCGAGATAACCTTAATCTCACCAGACAAGATGTCGGAAATGCCGGTGTTGCTTCTGTCTCTGGCAGTATCTTCTCTAGGCTTGTTATGGGAGCCGTCTGCGATCTCCTTGGGCCACGTTATGGCTGTGCTTTCCTCGTCATGCTCTCTGCTCCGACCGTCTTCTCCATGTCTTTCGTTGCTGATGCCGGCGGGTAAGCTTGCTTACATTGTAAATTGCAAAATTGTGCAAAAAGCTTAAGACCATTTTCACTTAGTTTGAGACTCTCCTATATACATATGTATGTGATGATATGCCCGTTTCACTAACCGATTCGAAAAGAAATTTTCTGAAAGAACAATGGATATATAATCTCAAAATTAAAATAATAATAAGTAAAGTGGCTATATATATATATATTGGATTAGTCTTTTGATTTGGAAGTCTAACAATATTTTGGCTATAGGTACATAACGGTGAGGTTCATGATCGGATTCTGCCTCGCAACCTTTGTGTCATGTCAGTACTGGATGAGCACAATGTTCAACGGTCAGATCATAGGTTTGGTGAACGGGACAGCGGCCGGATGGGGGAACATGGGAGGTGGAGTCACGCAGCTACTCATGCCGATGGTCTATGAGATCATTCGACGCTTGGGGTCTACGTCCTTCACAGCGTGGAGGATGGCCTTTTTTGTCCCCGGGTGGATGCACATCATCATGGGTATCTTGGTCTTGACTTTAGGACAAGACCTCCCAGATGGTAATAGAAGCACACTCGAGAAGAAAGGTGCTGTTACTAAAGACAAGTTCTCAAAGGTAATTAAGACCTAAATTAAATAACTTTAACCTCTTCTTGGATCCTTTTGAGTCTTAATCTTATATATTAAGATCTGCAGGTCGTTGTCTAACTTATATACTTTTCATGTTATATTTAAAAGGTTATTCTGATATAGATCTTATATTAACATTTTTAGATAGATGGAAATAATCAATTAATTAATTTTAAGAAAACAATTGGGCTCATTCTTATTTAAAACGAATTATAGAAAAAGAAGATGATACGTTTTTATATATATAGAATAAGCGAAATCCTTATACCTAAGTGACTGTAATATCTTTATATATATCATCTTCAGATAAATCATTATACCCTATCATACAGTTCTTTTTTTTTTCTGTTAAAGATCTTTTTTTTGGGTTAAGACTCATGATATATAGTTTTCTCGTGGACAATTTAACCAGGTTTTATGGTACGCGATCACAAACTATAGGACATGGGTTTTCGTGCTGTTATATGGATACTCCATGGGAGTAGAGCTCACAACCGATAACGTCATCGCTGAGTACTTTTTCGACAGGTAAACTTATTAATGACTCGTTTTATATTTATTGAATCCTTTAGTCTATAAAGTATAAACAATACTTATACGTTTTTTACTCTATTAGCAGAGTGGTGTGTATCATGCCATTGGATGAACCATGTTATATAATAGATACAGTAAAACTCAACCTTGAATGTAGTTAATGTTGATACCTTGCATGCTCAAATGATATTTTTAACCAAAACATAATATTTCTAAAGAAAATTATTCTACTAAACATATATACTTTAACCCTTTTTTTGCATATTCGATACTTCCACATTAAATTTTATTAGTTACCAACTAGATCCTAACAATATAAACAACATGGATAAAAAAGACTCAATACATGCTGACTATTTTTGCAGGTTCCATCTCAAGCTTCACACGGCCGGTATAATCGCTGCAAGCTTTGGTATGGCTAACTTTTTTGCTCGTCCTATTGGTGGTTGGGCCTCAGACATTGCGGCTAGACACTTCGGCATGAGAGGCCGTCTTTGGACGTTATGGATCATCCAAACCTTAGGCGGTGGTTTCTGCGTATGGCTAGGCCGAGCCACGACCCTTCCAACAGCTGTTTTCTCCATGATCCTCTTCTCTCTCGGGGCTCAAGCCGCTTGTGGAGCCACCTTCGCCATCATACCTTTCATCTCACGCCGCTCTTTAGGGATCATCTCTGGTCTTACTGGAGCTGGAGGAAACTTCGGCTCCGGTTTGACCCAGCTCGTGTTCTTCTCAACCTCAACGTTCACTACGGAGCAAGGACTGACGTGGATGGGGGTGATGATTATGGCGTGTACACTACCCGTTACTTTAGTGCATTTCCCGCAATGGGGAAGCATGTTTTTGGCTTCCACGGAAGATGCAGTGAAGTCTACGGAGGAGTATTATTATTTGAAAGAGTGGACGGAGACGGAGAAGCAAAAAGGTATGCATGAAGGGAGTTTGAAGTTCGCCGTCAATAGTAGATCGGAGCGTGGAAGGCGCGTGGGGTCTGCAACATCTCCTCCTAGTGGTACGCCGGAACACGTTTAACATATATTTGTTGAAATTAAATGTCTTGTATCAGTTTCTATTGCTTCAAATGTGTAAGTAATTTTATGGAGTTACAAGTTTAATTTCTATAAAAGGGATACTTTTCTCTTCATGTAGTCTCGTAAGAGTTGTATTGTTTTTGAAAATTTATCCTTTATTTTCAGTGTATCTCGCAGATTAAACTGTTTGACCAACTCAACATAGTCAGTATTCAAAAATATCCCATCGAGCCAAATTAGATAACTTCTCTCTAGATATGTAAACGGTAATAGGGTCTGACCATATGAACTTTTTAGGAAGCCCTCTCAGCATTTCAGCCCACTTTGATTTCAGATTTCTTAACTGATTGATTATAAGTATAACCCATATATAATGATAAAATCATGATTTGTTTTAATTTTACTTTCCTCTTAAACATAGTATGAAGATCTCATAACTAAACTCATACTAGAATGAAAATTTATGGTATTCTTGTGAAATTGTAGACTTGCACTGACCAATTAAAGGAATGTTCAGCAAAAAACAACTTTGGGCTTTAACCAACAAAGTTGTGTGTATTTGATTGTTACCAATTTAGTTTTCGTATATTTATATGTGGTCGAGAATATTTGGGAAGGCACTGAACTATATTTTGTTTTTTCCGGTGGTTCTTATAGAAAGTGGAGGAACACAACTTGTTGTGCATTACAACAATATCACTTTTTACATATCTTTGCTTATCTATCCCATATGATATGTGGTCAGTATATATAAACTTCTTATCTGATATACACACTTTACAAAATATTCTCATAATGTAATAGTACATCTCTGGAGAATATGTATCGCATATCGCAACCGAAGACTAAGCAATTCAATTTCTATTTTATTTTTGTTAACCAAATTTTGTGTTATTGAATTACCAAAGCATTAGTAAAACATTATGTAACCGACGTGTATGATCATATAATTCCAATTCTCCTATTGAACTATATGGCGCCGGTACCGCCGTTTAGTTCAGTTTTACCCAAAACTTTCTGATTACTAAACAAACTACTAATTAGGAGAACAAGATATGTAACTGACGTGTATCATATATTCAAATGGTTTGAACGACATGAGGATTACAGTCAGAGGGGAGAGACCGTACACCCTCCGCATCATAAGGACAGAACCTAATGATGTGTGATCTGTACGGGTCTAAAATAAGTAATTTAACAGATAAGTCAATTAAGTTATCATTAATGTAATTTAAGCAAGTCAACAATTATCACATATCAGGAAATTTTATTATATGAGCACGATAAGCATCAACCACTTTTCTGGTGAACAAATCCCATGTTCATCGTTACGTGAAAATTGCCGTCATTGGAGCAACTATTTTATTTATATATCAACTTAAGCTTTCCTCAATTTTTACAAAAAGGAGCCTTCAATTTAATCACGCTGAATGAAAAGTAAATATATCTTTCTAACCTACAACTTTTGACTCTAATCTATTCACACCGTTTACTTTTGAATTAAGCCACTTGTAGTCTATACTAGTGATGATGTTCACTTCAATACGCCCGTATCTACACAATTGAAAAAATCCGAATCTAAAAAGCTTATCTGAATCTTTCAATTTGTCTACTTCGTTTTGTTTTTCCTTCAATGTATAATATAACCTGAACCGGGAGATAAAAGGAAAAGACAAAAACTGAAATATATATACTTTTAATAGCTTTTCTTTAGGCCAATAAAACTTGGATATCTTTGCAAACGAAAGGCTACCAACCAAGTTAAGAAATTCTCAAAATGTCTGTTCTGTCTATTTAAGTTCTTCTTAACATATACATGAAACTTCAGTCTAACAAGTTGAGCCTTCGAAATTTAATAAACATAAGAAGTCAATGAGCCACATTACTCATGTAATGAAAGAATATTGTTTTAAGACAATTTTTTTTGTTTGACCTTTCCCGTAATATTTGAAATTTCTTAACCTATAAACATTGGACTTTTTTGCCTTCCCTACATGTGAAAACTATATATTATATATAAATATAACTATTAACTATATATAAAAAAAGAAAGGTTTCACCTTATTAATATTGGGTCATTCTAGTAAACTATAAGACTTACAATATGTGACGAATGTACTACTATTCTACCGAAATTTGTTGATGAACGAACGTGGAAAACAACATGATCTCTCTAGTTTACGAATCATAGTGCTTTGAAGCAACCAACTGATATAACGAAAACGTAGAACTGAACTATATGTTTAAGAGCTTATATATATAGAGATAATACAAAACTCAGGAATTGATTTAAGAAAGTCAACTTATCATTTCGTTTCATAGTGAGGATATGCGAACATCATAGGCGGAAAGTATATAATATTTAACTTATAAACTAGACAATATATAAAACGTTAAACCATTTTTGTAGGAAGTAATCTACTAATTCAGTTGGTGAGTCGACCACATGGAATGTTCAACAGTTCAAGAGACAAATAAATATTGTATTTAAAAACACTTTGACACTTTATGCCTTCGATGATACGTACGGCCTCCTAGGCCTTTCTTAGCTTATTGCCCCAATGCCAACTGTCAACGTTCTCCATCTTAGAGAAAAATACGTATAAACCTGCCAGGCTGCCAATAGCCCCGAATAGATTTTACACGTAAGATAATTGGTAGATTTCTTTTCCATAACTTTAAATTATCCTATCGAGAAAAAAAAACTCTTAAACACGTATGAAAAGTAATTTAATTGTAACTTAGCACGTATGAATTAGTAGCTAGTTAGCTACATTATGCAAGAAGAATAATATGTTTAGTTCTCCAACTTTTATAATACTTGTCAGCCATTAGTAATTAAAATAGTCACATATCTAATACTAAATGCTGTTATCATTTGATAATTATATAAGTTTTCACATGCAAATTGGTAAGTCCTTGCTAATTTTTGCTTATATTATTCAAATCTCATTATTGGACCCACCTAGCCCTAACCACAGGCCACCTTTGTGATATTGGTATGTAATGTAACTATGTATGATTTATCCCTCCTCTGGCTCTATATATACTTAGCATTTCTCAAATCTCCAACTCACACCAAAAACACAACAAAGAGCACCAAAACGTCTTTCATCTCACTCTCACCTTACAATGGCGCCCAACAATTCTAATGACGAAGGCTCCATTGGAACCTCCTTGCATGGAGTTACAGCAAGAGAGCAAGTCTTCTCTTTCTCCGTAGATCCTTCATGTCAAACAATCCAGTCAGACGATCCAACGGCTAAATTCCACGTTCCCGTTGATTCCGAACATCGAGCCAAAGTGTTCAACCCACTCTCATTTGCAAAACCTCACATGAGAGCTTTTCACTTAGGATGGCTCTCATTCTTCACTTGCTTCATCTCAACCTTCGCCGCTGCACCATTAGTCCCCATCATCCGCGACAACCTCGACCTCACCAAAACTGACATTGGGAACGCCGGAGTTGCATCCGTCTCTGGCGCCATTTTCTCAAGGCTAGCCATGGGAGCGGTTTGCGATCTCCTCGGTGCGCGGTACGGGACTGCCTTCTCCCTCATGCTAACCGCCCCAACCGTCTTCTCAATGTCGTTTGTGGGAGGCCCAAGCGGATACTTATGCGTCCGGTTCATGATCGGATTCTGCCTCGCCACGTTCGTATCGTGCCAGTATTGGACCAGCGTCATGTTCAACGGTAAGATCATAGGACTTGTGAATGGTTGCGCCGGCGGGTGGGGAGATATGGGCGGTGGAGTGACTCAACTCCTCATGCCGATGGTCTTCCAAGTCATCAAACTTGCTGGAGCCACTCCGTTCATGGCGTGGCGCATAGCTTTCTTTGTACCCGGATTACTTCAAATTATCATGGGCATTCTCGTCCTCACTCTCGGCCAAGATCTACCTGACGGTAACCTAAGTACCCTTCAGAAGAGTGGTCAAGTCTCTAAAGACAAATTCTCCAAGGTACGTAGTTTTCTGTACATGTCATACTTCGCCTCATCTTTAGTTATATAAAAATAAAATACAAGAAGAACAATAGAGGTCTCATATAAAGAATCTTGCAATTTAATTTTAGTCGTAGCAAACTTTGTGACTCTCTTTCGAAATTAGCATTTAGATGCAAATTAATCAGGAATAATACCTGCTATTGTGATTAAGTTGCCTAAAACAAATGACCATAGCTATAATGGCAACAAATACGTAAAATCAGTATTTTGGTTACTTAAAAATAAAAATAAATAAATAACGTCACTTAACAGTTTATCTTGTTATTATGCAACGTGATAGGTATTCTGGTTTGCTGTGAAGAACTACAGAACATGGATTTTATTCATTCTTTATGGATTTTCCATGGGAATTGAATTAACGATCAACAACGTTATCTCCGGATATTTCTACGACAGGTTCGATTTAAACTTAGTTAAACCCAAATGATGATCTTACTTAGCACAAGGTTATAACCATTGTTTTCTTGTTTTCTACATATATCAGGTTTAACCTTAAGCTTCAAACAGCTGGTATTGTAGCAGCCAGCTTTGGAATGGCTAACTTCATCGCCCGTCCCTTCGGTGGCTACGCCTCCGATGTTGCAGCTCGGGTTTTTGGCATGAGAGGCCGGTTGTGGATCTTATGGATCTTTCAAACTGTAGGAGCTCTTTTCTGTATCTGGCTAGGTCGAGCTAGCTCACTTCCCATAGCAATCTTAGCAATGATGCTTTTCTCAATCGGTACACAAGCAGCTTGCGGAGCCCTCTTCGGGGTTGCACCTTTTGTCTCGCGCCGCTCTCTAGGCCTCATATCGGGACTAACCGGCGCAGGAGGAAACTTCGGGTCTGGTTTGACCCAACTGATTTTCTTCTCATCATCGAGGTTTAGTACAGCGGAAGGACTCTCGTTGATGGGCGCAATGGCAGTTTTATGCACACTCCCGGTTGCGTTTATACATTTTCCGCAATGGGGAAGCATGTTTCTAAGACCGTCGAGCGATGGAGAAAGATCCAA